AGAGCTGTGACAACGAAGAACCTGCAAGGCCTTGTTCAGTAACTTCCCTGTGGTTCTCAAAGAGACCGATGTGAGAAGAACGGGCTTTCATGAGCTCGCGCATGTTATGAAAGGGTAAAGGACGGTCTTCGGCCTATTTTTAGATCAATTCTAGTTTTGAGATGCGCCACGCATTCGACTTGCGCTCAGAATCGCAGTGGTGTTTTGAATGGTTTTGAAGGCGTAATGATAGGCAATTATGCGATGCGTTCACGTTGTATTGCGCTGAGCAACCATTGGACAAGTCATTGTTTTTCTGCTTCCACACGAGTCTGTACCCGACCCCGAAGGGATGAGATGCTTAATTGATGTGTGCGAGTATCGATCCGGAAATCCACCCCTAGACGTTCGTGGGTGATAAATCGCGCTTTTAACTACATCACCCTTACCTTTTCAATGTTACAAGGGAAAAGTGTTTAATCCACTTGTCATCTTATGGGAAGCATCTTCAAAGACGTTACCGAAGGGCATTTTAAGTAGGTAGCTCATAGGTCCACCACCTTGCTCACCTGGTGGTATTCCAGAGCACTGGGAGAGTGGATGCTGTACCTTTATTCTGGAACGTTTTTAAGGAACGAATACTATGCCTTTTGAAATTCTTTTGCTGTTCGAGGTATTAAGGTGGAACACTTCATTAACTGAACGGCCAAGTGTTTCGATGTAATCGTCGTCTTCAGAGGCTAAGCTCCACCATTAAAGCAGATAGGGTTCTGAATGGAAGTCGAATGCGGGGCGCAACCCTCAAACGAAATTCGTTAACGCCAAAATACTTTATATGCCATATCAAGTACTCGATTCGCCTTAGAGTATATGCTGACAAAGTATCAAACCCGATTTTCTGGTTTGTGGTAGGTACCATAAATACAAAAAGGAGATTCCTTACCAACGGGGAACGGTACAAGAAATCCCAAAACTGATCCAACCCCACAAATGTTCGATGTACATCCTTTACCCCTCGTGAGCACTTCACCAACTAAATCTTTTCACCACCATTTTCATCGCGTTATTGAGTCACCTCATTAGCAAGCACTTCTTTTTCCGTCGCCAATGTGATCTTTCATTTTTCAGTCCCTTCTTACCACTTTTTGCGGCAGTCCACTGTACGCTTCTCCCGAGATCATCAATGGCACACCTTATAAAGGCCCTGAGGTATTCAGCTTTTGCCATAATTTTGAACGCAATCAATATTTGCTTTGAATGAATGGTTTGAGGTCGATTGTTGGTCACTCGGTATCCTTCTCTACACATTAGTATACGGTTCAATGCCATTCGATGGGCGTGACTTCAATCGTATGGTGCGACAAATCAAACGCGGTGCTTACTACGAACCGGATACACCGTCAAGTACGTCTTGACTTCGCGAGCTCCTGTAATTTTCAGGGGCTGCCTTCATAGTCCATGATTTGGCCCGCGAGCGAGCGACCGATCGTGCGAGCGATCGAGAGATTGGGGCTGCGCTTGCCCCTTGTTTACAACTGAACCTTGGTCGATACCGCAGGCAAGCGCCGTCCCAATCGCTCGATCGCTCGCTCGCGGACTATGAAAACAGCCAGGGAGATTAATTGATGCTTTCGGAAAATTTCCTAGTAAAGGTGGCCTACTTATGTATATAAGAGGGAATTTACATATAACACGCACGCATAACATAACGCATCCTTCCGACGAACTTTCAAAAATCTGATTTAGATGATCACCCATAGATAAAAGAACAGCATAGTTCTATTGCTGTGTTTCTTCCATTGCCTTTCGATCTTCATTTGCAAGGTGCTAGAATTTGGCTATTTCAGCGGCATCGATGCTTATTCGCAATATGCTGCGGGTGAATCCAGAACGCCGTGCGGACATCTTTGAAATCGCCAGTCATTGGTGGTTGAACCTCGAAGAGAATATGCCTGTCATTCAAGAACTACCGGAAAATCAGGTGCTTTCCAAGTTTCATGGCACTAATGTATACTTAAAATCTATAGCTAAAGGATATGTTAAATGAATGTGATTCAGATCACGGACTACACCCCACTTACGGAAAGGGCCGAAACAATGGTTGTGCAGGTTTGTGTAGTCGCGTTTATAAAAAAAAATTAATCAATTAACCTCGGTTCCTATTCATTCAGATTTTCTTGACATTTTCATTGCTTCATTCACATTTTCATTTTCATTGTCTCACTTTCCAATCAATAGTTTCACTTTTTTCCTGAGAAGACCTTCAGCCCAAGCCTGATCCCAGTACTTCTTCGCTTCAGGATTTGGCCGATGAAACGGACGTTTTTATGGAATTCGGTCACCTCAGCAATGAAACGCGAAAGAAGATTGAAGAGTTCCGACGACGTCGAAAGCAAGCTGAGGAATACAACGAAAATTCCCCTGTCAAGCCACCCAAGGTATGTGGCATTTTGGATGATTGATTTGCAATGCGTAAATTCGCTTGGAAAGGAGGGATCTGTTACAGACGGCTCGAAAGGATGGTGAACAAGCGGCTGAAATGAAAAGCGAAGATAAGAGTTTGAGAGGCGTAAAGGAGCTGAACAAGGTTAGTCGCTAAGAGGGTTCGGTTACTGCTTTCAAATGTTCATAGGTTAAGGAAAAGGAAACCGACGATCCTTTGGAGCGCCTGCGGCAGATTGAAAATCGCCTCGGGCAGCAGAGGAAGAAGAGCGCTCCCGGTAACGCACCGCAAACGGTAATTAGAATTTGCTTTATTATACTTCCAAGTCAAACTCCAGTCAAGGAAGGTGAACAATTTCAAGCGACAGACTCTTTAGTTACCCTTGTTCGCATGGCCATCTTCCTTGAGACCACGGCACTGCTGAATGCATTTTAGCGACTCGTCCTTTTGCTGGTAACTCGAGTAATCGGGATGATCAACGACCATTTTGACGAAGTGCTCAGCGCACTGTTCTGCGCAGGATTTGTGTTCTGGATGGCTGGGATGACCGGCAATATCCTGCAATACAGTCCGATTTCGACTTCAATTGATCTGCTTTTCACAACAGAAGAATCTATCTCGATGCCACTACTCCTCCCCCGTCAACCTAGTAAAATTGCTTAGTGTCAGCCATGCATTGCTTACTAGAGGTTTCGGACTGGCCTCCAAAGCGATCACGAAAGTAGTAACCATCCAGAACACCTCAATGATGTGGAAATTCATGCAGCTTCTCTCCGAGACAGAAGTGGAAATTGTATTTGTCGAGAGTCTCGGCTGCAAAGCAAATTTTAAGTTAAAGTATCACATATGAGGTAAAATATTTTGCAAATATGCTTTTTTTCTACTGGGCGACGATTTTCCTCATGATTGCGAATCACTTTCAAAATAAGCAAGAAAAGCTACTAAGGATGCATTTCAAAGGGAAAATCACTCGGTAGCAACCTCATCAAAGATCCCATTTGCGTTAATGCTGAGCTGC